TAACAGAACAGTGTGGCTAACAGGACAGTGTGGCTAACAGGACAGTGTGGCTAACAGGACAGAGTGGCTAACAGGACAGTGTGGCTAACAGGACAGAGTGGCTAACAGGACAGTGTGGCTAACAGGACAGTGTGGCTAACAGGACAGAGTGGCTAACAGAACAATTGCTAACAGAACAGAGTGGCTAACAGAACAATTGCTAACAGAACAGAGTGGCTAACAGAACAATTGCTAACAGAACAATTGCTAACAGAACAGAGTGGCTAACAGAGCTGCAGTCCTAAATTAGGCTATTATAGCTGTAATCAAACAATAAACCTAAACAAAAACACAGTAAAATTAAAGCTCTGAACTGAGGAGACAATTCTAGATATAAATAAGTTATAAAGAATTTAGAGTTCTTAGTTTTTATTTCATTTTAGCAGATGTGTATAAACATCTGTTGTTCCATTAAAAGTCCAGCTTTTCTGAAAACTCTTAGTTTAGCAACTTTATTTTATTTTTTGCTAACCCTGACTGGGCATTCAGAAGACAACAAACAAGGGTTTTTGTAAACAGGAAAAATGAGAGCACTAAGGAAAGCTTCAACACAGCTAATTATTGATTACAGATGGAGGACAGGTGAGACATGTTTACAGAAAGACTTGGACTGTTTAAGATCTGGTTTTATTTYTGTCCGTCTCGTCTCTGAGTCTCTGTCCTCTGTGCGTCAGGACAAACCACTTCCCTCTGAATCATTGAAGAGTTTCAACCCATCAAACAAATTTAGACCCTGAGGTTTAAAAAAAGACAAGCAGCTTTTAAAATCTTTTCCCCACATGAAGAATTAAACCCAAAGTGTTCTGGTTCTGGTTCTGCTCTGAGGTTTAAACCTGTCGACAAAAAGAAACCAAACYAATGAATCTGAGCTGTAGTTTTGCACGTTTAAATTTATTTGTCTTTTTTATTTAAGGTAAAACWAACAGGAAGTTGTGTTTCAGCATGAGGACAATGAATTGTAGTTTTATTTATTTACATCTTTATAAAAGCTCTTTATTTATTTTTGTTTACACGGCTGATATCTTGAGGCTCAAATTAAAAAAATAAAATAACAAGTTGGTCTCTTGGTTCAGAACTGGATCTTTTGGATCAAACTGGACCTGTKTGGACTCAAAGCGTCTGATGTTTGTTGAGAATCTAAAGCCCCGGCACCGAGGGTCCATCAGACGGGATGTTTGAGACTCRGGTCCTGAGGGGGTTCAGAGGACGYCYAGTTTTTACTGAAACATGAAGGGTTTTTATCTCCAACATGTGGTTAATAAAGACCAGAACCTGGAGATCAGTCCCCAGGTTCTGTTGGGTCCAAGTCTGGTGAAACATGATGTTTGTTCRGATAAATCTGAAGGAGCTGAGAAGGAAGTCAAACTGGTGTCTTTCTGTCTGCGAGGACATGAATGTTGAAAGCATCTTTTCATGTGTCCACCTGGACTTCATGTGTGGATGAGAGGCTGAGACACTGTCAAAAATAAAACTGTCCTGAAACCACTTGTCTTTATTGACTCAACCGTACTTCCTGCCACTGTCAGACTGGAACCAGATCCTGTCCTTGGACCTGCTGAGTGTCAGTCTGAGCTGCAGGGGGCAGTCTGTCCTCACTCCTGGACCAGGCGTCCCCCTCGAGCTGACTTTAGTACAAGGAAGCTGTTGTGTCCTTCYTGTGGGCTCAACAGAACCATCAGAGGGACACGTTCTTATTGGACCGGTCAGGTTCCCCTTGGACCGTCAACCCGGTCAGTCTGAAGTGAGACAACTGAGGACAATAAATCTAAACCATATTATTTATTATACAAACTAAAAAATACAAGAATAAAACCACCAGGAGACAGATGTCCCTCCTGTCCTCTACAACCTCTAGGACAGTG